ATTTGAACTCAGGCCTCTGGGTACAAGGCTGCTGTGTCCTACAGATGCCTCCCAAACCATGGTTAATATCATTCGGTCAGAACTCCAATCCCACCAGAAACTTGACTTTCCTTTCTGGAACCGTCTTAGCTGCTTAGTCATCTGAGGCTACATCCCTGACAACCCCACACCGTGTCCTGGAGGAACCCATAGGAGCTGTCCTTATTCCTTCCGTGTGTGTCCTTTGCCTGAGCCTTGAGGTGGAGATGAATAGCTATTTGGCAGCCCACAAGGAGACCAGCCGAGGACAGGCAAAGCCCACGCAGTTTACCCCCATGCACGCACTTCCAGAGATGGAAGGATGGACACTGCAATTTCATAGCACATGTCTTCAGGGTGATGTCTTGAGTCACCCCCAAATTCCCACTGGAAGTCATGAGCAAACTTTATTGTGAATGCTTCCAATATGGCTACAAAGCTATGAATGTCATCACCAACTCGAAGAAGATTAAGGAATCTGGGAACAAATTAGCCTGGTGTAGACAGTGACTTAAAGAGAAGTCGCTGGGAGGAGTCAGAGAAGCCAGCAACTTTAAATCCTATAAAGTTTTTTAATCAAGTTACACTATTATTTGAAATTGGCAGGACACCAATGGATTTAATCCAAAGACATAATTTATGATTTTTTTTTTTTTTTGGTTTTCTTTTTTAAGGGCATTAGGGTTTTATTCCATCTTTTTCTTCTTCTTAAATTTTTTTATTTTTTGGCAATATGTCACTTTCTTTTCTCAAGTCTGTTTCCATCCAATATATATAAAATGGAGCCAGTTCGAGGGAGCCCTGTACTTCCCATGGCACCCTACAAGAGCTTGCTCCCCATTAAGCTAACCACCTATAAGCCACAGAGCCGGTTTCACTCCAGTGGCTTTCTTCTCCAACTGGTTCTGCCTAAAAGTTTAGTCATTTCCTGATAAGGAGGCTGGGGGGAGGTGCCCCTCATCGCTGAATCTCCTCAGGATTAAGGGGGGACTTTCCCCTACGCATAGGGCCCCCATCCAGATTCCCTCCCCAGCCTTCTTCCCGGGCCTCTGTTCCCATGGGCCGCTGGCTCCAGGAACCCAGTGCCCTCAGTCGTCTGTCCTCTGCCCTTCCCAGCTCCCCGCGCCCCACCTCCAGACTCTGGGAGGGCCTCCCAGCTTCCTTGTGAGGAGCTCAGCCCCAGGCCCGGGAGGGAGGACGCACACTCATGCAGCTCCCTCCCACAGGCCCTGAGAAAGCCGGAGATCAAAGCACGAGGGCCAGGTGTCCGTCCTTGCCACAGGCCACGATTAATCAAACCGCCCAGCTCACAAGGAGATCAAACCCGGCACCCCGCCAGCTGTGGGTTACAGCCGCCTTCGGGTTGCCCTGTTAAACTGCCTTCCCTCCTGCTTGCTGACTCCCGTCCTGTGGGCAGCCATCGCTTGGATCTCTCTCCTAGCACTCTTCCTCGCTCGGCCGCCTCCCTTCCACCCACTTTCAATTTCTGTTTTCCTTCATTCCTGTGCTCCTGCCTGCCCTTCTCCTGCTTCCTGGTTCCTCCACTTTATTTCCACTCCTTCAAAACTCCTGGCCCTCGGATTCTTCCCTTTGGGTGCTCCCTCCTGCACCCTCCTCTCTGCTTCTGAAGTTCCAACAAGGAAGTCATCAGGGCTGCACCGGGCACTGGGGCGTGGCTGGGGGCAGAGCAGCCCTTCCTTCCCCTGCGAGGGTGCCATCTCCAGGGCTGACCGGACTTCTCACCTGCTGGCAGCAGCAGGCTCAGACTCCTCCAGCGCTGAGCTCCTGCACCCCAAGCCTGGGCTACTACTCACTTCCTGTTCCCAGAAGCCTCCGGGCCCTCGGAGGGGCCTTCCCGAGGCAGCCTTCCTTGTGGGCCCAGCAACCAGTCCTGAGAAGAACCAGTTCCACCCAGAACAAGAAACAAGGAACCCAGAAGCAAGGACAGAGCCTTTCCCTTTCCCAGAAAGAACAGAAACATTGGATCCTGACTCCTTGCTCGACTGATGTGTTGAGAATATTTACTCCAGTTGTCTGAGGATTGTTTTTATACACTTTCTCTTACAACAAACACTGGCACAAAAAGAAAGGAAAAAAAAAGCAAACACAGGCTGCAGAGCACTGTCCTCTCTCCCTCTCTCTCTCTCTCTGGCTCAGTCTATATACGTCTATGTATTTTTTAACTTGTTTTTCATTTCGATGGTTCTGAGGCACACAGGCGTGAGAAAACACAGATGGATGGGAGCAGACAACGTCGTCGCTGTGCTCGGAAGGCATTGCACCATGCTGTAGATTTGCAGAAGTCTTGGAAGACCTCGGGATTCAGAGCGGGGTTTTTTTTTTTTTTTTTTTTTTGGCTTTTATTTTAGATCTCCCCCCCCCCCCACCGCCCTGCCCCAGTCCTCCTTGTGCACTCAGAGATAACCATCTCCTGGTTTCCTCTCTCGATTTTATTTCCATGTCCCTGGCATCACCTGCTACCCCTGGGAACACAGGGCCCCCTGGCCTCTTGGCAGGGTCGCTGGGCTGCCCCAGGGTTGACCCCACTTCTACCTGCATGTGTTCCCCCAGCTGTGTGAGGGAGCTCTCTGGCTATGGGAGGAGGAGCCACCCATCCATCACCTCAGCCACAGCAGAGGCCTGAACAAGGGCGGGAAGGGTCAGGGCTGGCGCGCACTTGAGTGCAGGGGAGGAGGCAGGGGGCTGCAAATTGTGGAGGTATCATTGCCAGGCTTGACGAATGGGCACAGTGAGGGGTGAGATGCTGGGACAAGAGCCTCCTCAGCAGGCACCAGGACACAGCCCAAGTCCCGGGTCCCCAGGGACTCCCTCCAAGCCACCCCATCAGGCCCTTCTCCCTCTTTCTTTTTCCTGCAAGGCCCATCAGTCAAGCCCTGCCCTGAAGCAGACCTTCTGCAGAGAACTGCCCAAAAGACTCATTTCTTACTGAAACACCTCACCAGGTAGTTCCGTGAAAGGGGCTGGGGCTGGCCTTGCATGGGGTGGCTTGGTGACCCACGCCTATCTCCTCCTTTGCCTGCAGTGTCAACCTGGAACAGAAAGGGAAAGCAGATTGGGTTCACACTGTGTCAGCCAACTTCCTAGCTTTCCCTCCCAACCCCGAGCCCTTTTGTCCTGGTTGGATCTAACTCAGAAGCAACTGTGGCTGGTGCGTGCTGAGTCCTGAGTCCACACAGCTTCCCCTTGGCCTCTGAAAAGCTACGACAGAGTTTCAGGAGCTGCACTGAGGCCTCCTGATGAGACAAACTGAATCTCAATGGGGAGGCACCAAGATGCTCAGGACCTGGGCTGGGAAGGACACAGGCTGCCAGCGAGTCTAGCTGGCTCAGGGACCTGTCCATCTCATTAGGGGTTCTTTTTTGGAGACCACACAGGTCGCGATCAGTCATGCCTTTGTGGCAGCACAATAGAGCAGAGAGTGGGGATGGACATGTTGGGACAAACAGTGATGGAAGATGTTTAATAGAATTACTATTAGGCTCCGAGTTAATGAATCACAACTGCAAGAAATCATGATAATCCAGCAGGCATTAGTGACAGATTAGCTTCAAAGCTGCCATAAAAGTGCCATAATGCTTACCTAACGGCATGATTAATTCTCCCGGTACATAATGGCTTTATGGAGGAACTAGGCACCAACAGAGGCTTGACAGAAAGCCACGCTGAGATCTCAGGGCGCCAGGGCCACCCCGCCCTGCTGGCCTAGCAGCTTCCGCTGTGGCTGGAGCTGTCTGCCTCCCCCATTCCTGTCATGGTGTCATACCGGACAGTCACTGGCTCAGGCGGACGCAGAGCCAGTTGCCCAGTTGCCCCAAGTGCCAACTGTCTCAAGGGAACAGGGAGTCGCATTATCCCAAGACAGGCACCTGCCAGGAGTAGTCCTGATACCTAGAGAGCCTGGTCTCAGTCTCCTGGTCAGCGAGAAAGAGGGCTAAGTAGGGGATTCTGCATGACCCTGCTCCTCACTAGCTGTGTTACCTGGCAAGTCATGCAATTTCTTTGCGCCTGCATCCTTAGCTACCACACTGCCTGCCTGTGGTGACACTGAATGTTTATCTGTCACTGAACTGTGTCTAGGCACAATGGATGATTTTGTATGAATGATTTCATTCACTGCCCCTAACAACCCCATGAGATAGTTTCTACTCACTATTATCTTCATAGATCAGGAAGTGAGGCTGGAGAGCGGGGTAACTAGTCCACGGTCAAATACAGAGCTCAGCTGCACGGCTCCTCGCACCTCTGCCAACCCTCCTCAACCCTCTTGCTACCAGTTCAACCCCGGGGAAAACCAGTGTGGGGCACACCAAAGTCAGCTACAAGGGTGGACCAGGTTCCTGCTCTGACAGTGTTTCCTGAGGCATTTAACCTCTCCGGGTGTGGCTTCTCCTTTGAACAAAGGTACCTTGACCCCTTGGGGTTAGGACCCACCTTTGCATGACTGTTGCTGGAGCCTGGCCTGTTTCCCAAAACGTGCCCACACTGAGCTCCACAGGTTCCCGCTGCAGCCTGCCCATCTCCCCATAAATTTGGAGGCAATTAGCATGGAGCCCAGGTCCAGAGGGAATTCTGGGAGCCATGTTCATCTTCATAATGTTGAACCAAAGCCCTCAGGAGGCCTGAGTCACTGCTGTGGCAGGCAGGCCACTTCTGGTCTGATTAACTAGGGCTCTGTGAGAGATTCATCCCCACCCCACCCCCAGTAGGTATCCTTCCTCCTAGCCCGTGCACTCCAGAGGCTCTGACAATGGGGTTCCCACCAGGTGGCCACCAAGAAGAGGGCAAGAGGAAGCCTGGTCCTCTCCTACCAAAGCAGCAGCAGGATCGAAACTTTCCCAAGCTCCTTTTAAAATCAAGAATCAAATGGCAAACCATTGCTCAACCCACAAATGTGTACTTTCTCTGAAGGGCCCCACAGGAAAAGCCAAAAGGATTAATTTCATTTCAGCCCTGGACCCCCAAATGGGCATGGGGCTCATGTTGCTCATGAGAGCTGTGGGCTCCCACACAGGGGCAAGCATCTCTCAAAGAAGGCCCATTGTGTTGTCTGTGCAGACAGCTTGGCTCTTGTCAAGGTGACCCTGTCACTGTACTTACAAAGTCGTAAAATCTCAGGGTTGGAAGAGACCTCCAAGAAACTTCTCCCACGCTTCCCCAAATCTACCCTCATCAGCTATCAACTCCTCTTGAGTCAAATATATAGCTCTTATTTCAACACGCTGGGCCCAGTGAAAGCTCAATAAATATTTATTGATGGTGGTACCCATGATGAATTAACAGCCAAAACTATAAAATTAAAGTTTCACACAAGAAGAGATCCTGGTGAGAGAGAAACTGCTACATAAAGTTTAGAATTTTTCAAAATGACAAGTGTTCACACACAGGCACATACACGCATATACATCTCACAGCAGAGAAAAGAGCGCAGTTCTCTACCCTGCCTATCCAGAGAATAACATGGGAAACAGCTCAGCCCCTGCCAGGCCGGCTACTCCCCTTGTTGGGGCGTCTGGGCCTAGACCCACAGCCTCCCTGCATCTACTCTAGAACCAATGGCCAGTGAGAGTGTGCCCTGCTGAACCAAAATCAGTGTTGCTGAGCATACCCTTGGGTCTCCCAGGTGGGATGACGTTCTGAGGGTTCTTCAAGGATAAGAAGCTTACTCAAGGGACTGGGGATTTAGCTCAGTGGCATAAGCGCCTGCCTTGCAAGCAGGCAGTCGTGAGTTCGATCCCTGGCACCGATAAAAACGAAAAAGACCAAAAAAAAAAAAAAAAAAAAAAGAAGCTTACTCAGGTGTTTTTATCAAGATAACCTGCCATAGTTTGGATCTGAAATGTTCCCTAGAGGCCCATGTGTTAAAGCTTTGCTCCATGATTGATGCTTGGGGAGGAGAGGCCTGGTAGAAGATTCTGGTCACTGGAGGATGTCCTTGAAGGAGACTGTGGGACCCTGGTCACCTATTTCTTTCCCTCCACGGGGTGAACACTTTGCTCTACAACATACTCCTGCCATGACGTGCTCTTCCCCTCACCCCAAACTAGAAGCCCAAAGCAACAGGTCCATGTAATCATGGATTGAAACCTTTGCCCTTAAAAGTCAATGAGCTCAGGAATTCGTTACACCAGTGGAAAACTAGCTGTCACCATAGAGTTTATCTGGAAGGAAAAGCCAGGGAGGGCTGCCATAAAGGAATCAAGAACTGGTGAATGGACCCCCAACCACTGCCGATCAGAAGGTGTAGTCCTGCCCATCCAAGCCATTTATATGCATGAGCATGCTAATTAATTACAAGAGCCTCCAGGATTCATTTTTAGAACCAGCTGACTGAACTAACTTCTTCCCTCATCTGGACAACCTGGATCTCCTCCAAGTGCAGCATGGATACTCCCAAGCTCTTAGCACCTTGAAACCTCCCTCCTGCCTGACTCTCACAGTGACCTCAGGGAGGCCCACTAAACCAGGGCACAAAGATAGGACCCTCTTCAACTGAAACACAGAGCAACCAGGATCAACCCAGAGGGGGTCCTGCCACTCCAAAACCCAGTAGGAGAGGACCATCTATGCACTCACAAGGTGCAGGGGCTACAGGGCCCACTGGAACGGAGGAAAACAGAGGTGACCTTGCAGGAAGGTTTAGGAATAACTCACATCCCCTAAGCCTATTCCACTCCTAGATCCCCTTCCCATCTGCAAAAGGCAGGAGACTCCTGCTCCTATACTATGCTGGTGAATGACCAGCAACCTGTGAGAAAACAAGAAAGAGACAGACTAGGGACCTCTAGACAGCGAATAATTTGTGCAGTGAGCAGTGCCAGGCACTCTGCTAGGCACATTGGCTGAACACAGTATTCCCATGCACAAAGACAGACACCCACAGCCCACTCGACGCGGCTCACTGGCCTCCTCCCAGACCAGGCCTGTCTTCCCTGGCTGCTGAACACAGCCTCATGAGTCTGCTCATATTTCGAGTGTGTTCTTGCCCAGATGGATGTCTGATCTTGTCATGGCCAGTGTTTTCTGCACAAGGGGACCTGGTTCACTTTTATAGGAGCCCAGTGGTTTCCTGGGGCCAGACTCTAATGCTGTCCAGATGCAGAAAAACAGAAGGGTTATTCAAAAACAACTGAAATATCAACACACTTTGAAAGCGGTCTGTTAGCACTTGTCATAAGCACAATAAACAAAACAATGAAACCATCAGAAAGTACCGTGAGACAGTCAGACTTTAGGAACTTGGCTTTGATGACTTACAAAAGCAAAGAAAGGGAACAGAACCAGTTCCCACTTGGGCAGAAGCTTGTTTGTTCTGCTTATCTGAAGTTCTGCTAGGAATCTTCATCTTGATAAAAGCAAGCACCTTGAAGTTTCTCCTTGGTAAGAGCGGTTTCTGGTCACAGTCAGTTTCTTCCTGTGACCCTAAAGCAGCCTTTTCCTGCCCCTTGCAGGTTCTTCCTAGGTTCCCCCAACAAGCGTGTGAGCTCAGCAGATGGGACCATTTGCTAGAATCCTCACCTGGCCGGGCTGGAGCACATGAGACCCAGGCTCGTGGGAAAGGACATGGGACCCAGTTTCAGTCCCATGTCCTTTCCCAGCTGGATGACTTGTCCATTCTGCCGGGGGTCCAGCTGCTGAGGCACTGGTCCTGCTGTGGGACGAAGAGGCTGGAGAAAAGCACCAGCCACCCACTGGGCAGGCACTGCATGCAACCTTCCCATCTGAGTCAGAGTGCAGGGTGGGTGCTGGCCCCCAGGTGAAACGAGGTCACCTGCTTACCGCAGTCACTCAAGGTTATTTCCCACTGTCGCTGCAGCTCAGGCTTTGCTTAATTCCCACCATGGGTGCCGGCCAAGCCATCTATCACGTTACCTGCCAGTGATTTAAGTGAGCTTATCCCATTTGGGTGCAGTTCTCCTGCAGTTTGACTCTTAAGTCAACCAAAATAGAGGATTAATTGAAGAGGGGTGGGGAAGACTGGCCTGGCTGTCTGGTCTAGGAAACAGGGGCCCTGGAGCCAATGTGACTGGTGCCAACAGTAGGGACCTGGCGGCACAGACATGAGCTCCGGTGGGCTTCTTGGCCATGTGACCCACGGCCGTCTTTGCATCCCCTCCTCTGTACAGACCCTGGCTGGCCAGGCTGCCAGACCAGTGAGCAGGTCAATCCAAAGACTCTTCTCTACCTGAAAAAGGAAGAGGAGAGGTGGATGTCAGAACAAAGGGACCAGACACAGCCAGGGCAGGAACCCTCCCATCACTGCCACCTCCTCTCTCCCTGCAAACTCACACAGCACCTTGCCAGTAGCTTCTGAACCCCACCGTCTCCCTGGACTACGATGTCACCAATTCGGTAGCAATTGGTAAAAGTCATTAAACACCTGTAATGTGCGCAATGGCTGTCTTTTAACTACTACACACATCTGAACAGCTGGGAGGAAGCTTGGGAAAAGCCTCAACATTCCCAGATGCCCTTCAGCTTCCTGCGGAAGCAGCCTTAGTGTGGCAGTCTGGTCCCTGCCATTTTCCTTACCCAGTGGAGACAGGAAGAGCAAGAGGCCAGATGCAGTGACTCCGGCACCTTCCACAGTGACCACCTTTCCTCCCCCAACCCCTGCAGTGTGTCGAGGACCCTGACTTGTGGACCAGAGAAACCTATGAGTTGAACCCCATCTTTAGCACAGACGAGCTGCAGCCCAGGAAGGCTGGTCCCTATTCCTGCAAAAAGGACTAAAGGAAACTGGGCAGTGGGTGTGCATGGCTGGAATCTCAGCACTCTTGGGAGCTGAGACAGGAGGATCATAAGTTCAAGCCCAGCCTGGATAATTTAAACAACTCAATAAGACTCCGTCTCAAAATTTAATTAAAAAAAAAAAACAGCTGGGGGATGCAGCTCAGTAAAAGGCCCTATTCCCAGTATCACCAAAAGAGGTCTAAAACAGATCAAGTTTAACAAACCCTTAAATATTAGCTGCCTTATTCTCATCTCATATAGTTGCCCATCAATAATCAATCATTAAGTATTTACTGTATGCAAATGAAGTGCCCAACACAACAGGAATTCAAGGGTCACTGGTAAAGAAGTCAATGTCACTGTCTTGGTACGGCTCCTAAGATCATGAAGAAGATGAGCAGATCATTCAAATGTGAGAGAACAAAGCTTCACATAGACAGAAACAAAGTCTGCTGCTAGAGGGAGCAGCCCCGGCTCCAGAGTCCTCTGCTCACGCTGCTGCCGACAAGCTACGCAATTTTGACCTGTTACTTAATGGGTCATCTGTAAAATTAGAAACATAGCATCTACCTCATAGCCTGTAGTGAGGATTACATTAAACCCTTATCAGATGTGTAACCTCAGCTGTGAAGGGTGGGTAATAACTGGCCTGCTTGTAGGGATGTTCTACACAGTCAATTTGTTCATACATACAGCAGCAAGATGGGGCTATACAAATGTTAGCTAACATGACCCTCTAAGTACCTAGTTCCTAACTATCAGTTCAGTGGACGAGTTGTGAACAAATGCTGGAGGAAGACAGCACAATGGTTCCATTCCAAACGATTCCGAAGGAGGTGGTGCAGAAAGTAACAGGAGTTCTCTGTGCGGAGGAGGCAGGGAAGCGCAAGCCTGCAGAGCAGACAGGCAGGAGGGACACCAGGCAGGATCCGAGAAGCCCTGGGCAGTCTGTGTGGCTACACAGGAACCTCAGCGCAGCTATTCAGGCCGGCGGAAGATGGAAGCTCTGCCAGTCCAGTGACTGACCATAGTGACCAAACAGCCTGAAAATCATACCCAGGGGATGTGTGAGCACTGGACAAAAGCAACGTCCACAACCCTCCCAAGGGCCCCAGATCACTGGGGCTGAACCAAAAAAGCACCAGAAATAGCATTGCCCAGGAGCCCTCTGGCTCTAGGGACATCTCATTATACAGGACCCTGCCCCAGCTGCCTTGCAACATTTCCAGCCCACTGGGAGGACCCGGAGGACCCTGAGGACCCGGGCACTAGAGCCAGTGACCTCTGACCCCATCAATCCAGGCAGGGACTGGGGAAGCATTTACATCTTCAAAGATCCTGGTAAATGTTAGCCAGCAGCCTCCTCCCAACCCTATCCCTCGCCTCCTCCCACTCTGGGCCACCAGGGGTCAGGGACTAGGTCACACCTGGCCAAGCCCAGCCCAGGCCTGATTCTCCCTGGCAGATCACCCACTTACTCCCAGCTGCGGCCCTTCCCCGCCCCACACAGTAGGCCCAGAGCCCTAAGGAAGACCCAGCACAGCTTCGGAGGGGCCTTTGGAGGAATGTGGGCTAGGGTCAGCCGCTCTGCAACAGCTCTGGGTTCTGGGTTGGGGTGGAGAATCCTAGCCCAGGGTCAGCTTGGGATTGCATGGCTCAGGCAGGTCTCAGTGACCTCTCGCTGACCCCGATAAGCTCCAGTCTTCCCTCTGATCTCCTGGAGGCAGGGAGGCCTGTTAACTTTTACCAGCCTCTTTGACATGTCATGCTAATAAGAACCCAGGAGAGAGTTCATGCAAGTGTCAGGGCCCTGGCAGGCAGTGCTCTGATCTGGCCACCTCCACCCAGCCCCACAGCCCCCAGCCAAAGGTGTGAGGACCAGGGCTTTGAGCCCAGGAAAGCAAAAGAGAAGCCAGGGCCCTGGGGATTTGCCACCACCCTGGCCACTGGCTTCCATCCCAACTCAGACTTCAATCTCCCCCTGTAGACGGCTCCCAGGACATAGAGCCTCAGTTCTCAGCCTTACCATCCTGCAGACAAGGAAGGAAGGGCATCTGCAAGGGACAAGGCCTCTGAGGGGCAGCGGTAAGACAGCAACTCAAGGCGCAGTGGCTCTGAGCTGCCACTGCCCGCCGAGCTACACTCCTCTGGGGGCTGTGACCCAGCTGCTGCCGCTCAAATGCACTAGGGTGGAATGAAGACTGGTGGCCTTGTCCTGCTGAGATGCCCTGCTCTGACCACGTGCATCCTGCTCGTTTCTTTCCAGGGCTGGGAATGAGACCCGCAGCATGGTGTGTGCCAGACAAAGCTCCACCACGGAGCAGCAGTCCACGCCCCAACCTGCTCTCCAGCCAAGTTCTTTCACTGGCTCCTGCCAGCCAGGGAGCAGGCCCAAGCCTGGATTGTGGCCTCCACTTACTAATAGTGAGCTGTGTGGCCTGGGAGGATCGTGTCTCCTGCTGTGCCTCAGTTTCCCTGCCTGCAAAATAAGAATGGGGAGAAGATGTCTAAGATCCCTTCAAGTTCTGCATTCTGATTTGAAGGTTTCTCTCCCTCCAGAAACACACACACACACACACACACATCCTTGGCTCAAATTCCTACCGAATTCTTCTGCTCTTACCACAGAACTTTATAGCCAGAGCTGAGTATCCAACCTAATCCCTTTATTTGAAAACAAAAACTGAGATAGCTGGAATCTAGAAAAAGGACTCAGCGACATGACCTTGAGCGTGCTCGAGGCGGAGCCAGCCAGGCCTGGTATGCAGGTCTCCTGCCTGCACCCCATTATTTGTGCTGAACCAGCTCTGGCTCAGTCCTCGGGGAACTCCACTTTCCTGCAGGTACAGACCACACCCTTTCCTGGCCTGCAAGGCCTACCTGCCTCTGGCCTGTGCTCTTCCTCCCGCTGCCCTGGGCAGCAGCTCCGCCGCCCCACCCAGGGGGGTCTTTTCAGCCCCAAGCTCTCTGCTCCCTAAAAGCTTCCTGCCACACACTCCTGCCTGCACCCCACTCTGCCCTCTCCAAATTAGGAGCTCACTTCACCTCTTGCTTCCTTTTGGCATCTGTGCCCACCCCACTGCCATTCCCCACATGCTGTGGACAGCAGGCTGTGCTAGCTTAGGGTAGCCAGGAAATCCCACTTGGGAGCTGAACTCTGGTCCCACCTCTTGCAGGTTCTGACCTAACACCCTGTGCCTCAGTTTCCACTTAAGGAAAGGTAGGATAACAGGAGTTATACCTCAGTCAATTACTGTTAGGACTGCTTCTGATAACACAGGTTATTGCCTCAGAGGGTACCTAGTACAAAGAGTGTATATGGGTACGCATGTGCATGTGAGGGTATTCCTCTGAGATACTAACATTTTTTTTTCTGGCACTGAAGATTGAACCCAGGGCATTATACAAGCAAAGCAAGCATTCTAATATTGAACTGTGTCCCTGGTCTTTCTTCTTAATTTTGTGGCAGGGTCTCACTAAGTGACCCAGGCTGGCCTCAACCCTCCAACTTGCTGTCTTTACAAAAATGTGTCATGCATGGCAAAAAGTGTATTTGAGGGCTGGGGATTTAGCTCAGCGGCATAAGGACCTGCCTTGCAAGCAGGTGGTTGTGAGTTCGATCCCTGGTACCAATAAAAAGTTAAAAAAAAAAAAAAAAAAAAACAAAGAAAAGTCTGACTTCCGGGAGAACATGGCGGACAGATAACAGCAACTACTGGAGGCTCTCTGAAAGACTCGGCTCAGAAGCTAGGAATGGTGCGGACTAAGGAGACATAAGCAGGTGGAGATATGCTCTGCTGACTCAGGAACGAACTGGGCTGAGAGAAACCAACTTGGAATGCAGTCCTGGTGCTAAAACAGGAACAGAAAAGCCTCGGTGTGGAGGCTGGACCCCGCGCCATTGTAAGCCGCGATTTGGGTTTCCCGCCGCGCTGCGGCTGGCTGCCTCTACAGTGGCTCTGCAAGGAGAGAGACGCGCAGAAGCTCTGAGAACGGCAATCTGTGAACGGCAGGGAGGTGTGCACTGACTTGTGGTGAGGTGAGTGAGAGAAACTGACACTCTACCACAGTTTGACTCCAGCAGAGGACTTTCTGGGCCCGAGCAGTCCTGCGGGAGCAGGGCGCGGTGGCGACTCCAGCCACACATCCCCCTTTCGGGCGGGATTGGTGAAAAGTGCCTGGCCTGCATGACGCTGCCGGCGGACCTGGTAGACTGTTCCAACCCAGATCCCACAGCCTGACGGTGGCCGGGAGGGGAGACGTGTAGGCTGCCTGGTCCGTAACTCCCTGGTGCGCAGCGGTGAGCGGGAACAACTAACTGGCGCAATTCGATCAGGCTGTGGCTGACTGGGAGAGAAGCTGGGCCTCTTATATAAGCTTGCATATATAAGGAACAGAGAAGAAGAGGCAGCATGGGAAGAGGCAGCAACAAGAAAGGCTCCTCGGCCCCCAATGCTGAGAAACAGGCAATAGCGGACACCGCACCAATACACATAAGGCGCCATATAGAGAGCCTCATAGACCAATTCAGGAATGAAGTTATCAACGACCTGAAGCTAGAAGTATGCAGAATAGTTAGAGAAATGCTAAGTACCACCCAAGAAAAAACAGGTGGTGGAATGGAAGAACAGAAAAAAAGGGGAGAATGGTTTGATGGAGAAAACAGAGAAAGCATAGAATACGTGAAGCAGGTTCAAAGGGACTACCAAGATACTAAGAAGTCTATCGAAGACTGGCATAACAGCTTGAAAGAAACTAAGGACAGACTATCTGAACTGGAGGGCAGACTTGTAATATGGGAGAATGAAATGAAAAACTTCTTAAAAATAACAAAGAAACAAACAGCAATAATACAAAGACAAGAAGATGATAAGAGGATCCATAACTTAAGGATTAAGAACATAAAAGAAGAAGTAGGGACACAAACAAGTGAACTACAAAAGCTACTCACAGAAATAATCCAGGAGAATTTTCCTAATTTAGCAAAAGGTAAAGATACTCAGATGTATGAGGCATACAGGACCCCAGCTACCTACAACCCAAACAGAGCAACACCCAGGCATATAATAATAAAAATTCCAGAAATTCAATACAAGAACAGAATATTAAAAGCTGTCAGAGACAAGAAACAGACCACTTACAAGGGAACACCCATCAGAATTACAGCAGATTTCTCTGCACAAACCATCAAATCACGAAGAGCGTGGGGGGAAATAATTCAAGCTTTGAAAGATAATAATCTCCAGCCAAGATTGAGATATGCTGCACAACTGTCCCTTGAAATTGATGGAAAAACAAGGTGCTTCCAGGATAAAGAGGAACTGGGGGAATTTGCAACCACCAATTCAACTCTACAGAGAGTATTGCAGGATATTCTAAAAAAAGAAAAATACAAGGAATCCAGAAATAATGGCAGAGAGGCCACAACGAATGGAGCAGAGAACAAAATGAAGAAGACAAACTGACAGCTACTGACAGAAAAAGAGCTCAACAGAAATGAGGCAGAGAAGATTGGATGATAGGAACAGCTATTTTGGAGAAAATGACATCTTAATAGGTAATACTGATTTAGTATCATCTTGTTTTGAAGTCTCATCTAGCTTTTGTCCTTCTGTCTCCAATGGTCTAAATAGGCTGTATCTTATTGGATTTTATTATGTACGATAGTATAAGCAAAAACCTTTTAAAGACAAGGAGATTATACAGAGACCATTGTTCATTTTCTGTTAGTCGATTCTAAATACTCTGTAATGCTGTCATTCTCTTGAATGGTTTTACATTGTTTTGATATACTTAATGCTACAGTATACGAAGTTGTACTCAAGGATTTCATAGAAAGAGACAATATGGTAACTACTTTTAGGTTAGGATTATCTGGTGGTGAAACACTATTCTGCTTAAATAGTTATGTTTTGATCTGCGCTGTTTCGTTGTTATGCCCTCTTTTATCTCAATCTCCACTCCATTATTTACTTTTTTATCTTTATCCTTTTAATTAAAGGAAAAAAAATAGCAGGATATATTATAGTAACCCACTTTGACTTTTAATTACCTTGATTTAAAGCCCTGTATTACTCTCACCTTCTGGTTTTTAACTGATGTTCCCCTATTCTGTTTTGCTGGATAGTATCAGGTTCGAAAGTTTAGGCATCAGCTGTGAAGATAATGAGATTCATTATGACGCCCATTCTTGTTGACTTTTATCTACTTTTGAAGACCTACAATGTCTCCAATGTTTTGGTTTTGTCAGTTTTATTCTTCACTGTTTTGTTCAATTGTATTATAACTAACGATATAGGCAATTCTATTAGAGATAGCGGGAGGCATTATGGTAACCATTGTTGATCACCTTGTATTATGTTTTTACATTATCTATTATGTCCACCCTTTTGACTTGACCGATTCTGTTCTGTTATGTCACATTTGGTTTTACTCTCTTCCAAAAAAGTAATAAGAACCGTGGGAGCAATGAAACCCAAAATGTGTAATAGTCATGGTACAAAAGAGAGGAAAAGAAAGTGCTCCAAACTATATAACTGCATGTATATTTAAGTGTATAAGATAGAAAATGATATCACAGAGTTTTATTGGATCAATGAACAGAACTGTTTGCAGTATCATTGATGGAATGTCCACTTTACAAGCTTTAATTTTGTGACTTGAACAATTATTTCTAAGATGACAATATGTAATCCATTAACTAGTGGTTTCCTACTGTTCATTTTTTTTCTGTAAATCTGTATAACTTGTACCCTTTCCCTGCTTTTTTTTTCTTTTCTCCTTAAATAAAATTTAAAAAAAAAAAAAGTGTATTTGGCTACCTTTTAGAACCATGCTGATGAGGGCCAAGGGGCAATCAAAGATGAATGGGTGGACGGATGTGTAGGAGCCCTCCTCTCAGGGGCCATTCAATATAGGGATGAACTTACTTTGTGATCCGAATGTTGCCCACTGACATGGAAGTGGGACCTAGAAAGAGCACATTTTTGCCCACCCAGGTGTCCCTCAAACCTTAAAGACTCCCCTGCACATCTAAATGCTCCTTCCCATCTCCCACCACCATCAGAATCCCTTAAATTCCTCTAAGTCACCTGCTCACTGGGTGCCTGGCCCAGCCTTCCCCTGCTCCCCACTGCCGGAAATGGCTTATAGACTAGGGCTGATTGATGACGACATTGACCTGCCACTGACCCTCCAACCTGGGTCCTGCTGCTGCCCATGGGCATCCAGCATGGCAGCCCACACTCCTGTTTGAAATGCTGCCCCTGCCCCCGTCCCCATGGGGCTGCTGGTTTTCCTCATGTGGGAAATGTAATCTTTGATGTGGACCTGGTGGCACCTCGCCAGATATCTGGATCCTGGCATCCCTGCCCTCAACATACTGATAGCCTCTGTGTGGCTCAGGGCCTGAGGCTAGGCAGCTCCGGGTTCAAATCCTGATTCCACTGTTTAGCAGCTCTCTTGGTCTCTGCTCTTCAGCAAAGCACAGGGAAGGCTAAATCTGGCAACACAGGACTTAGGCAGCACAATGCTGGGGTATTGCGATTCCTTAATATCTAAGAGCCGTAAGGAGGAGGAGGAGGAGGAAGAGCATTACCATGCTGCAAAGGCAAAGATACATGCACAAGAAGACCAACTGTGACTCAGTTGTATGCCCCTCCTCTTTATATACCAGCACTCAGACTGAAACCAGGGTCTTCACACTGATCTACATCCCTAATCTGTTTTGTTTCGAGTCATAGTCTCACTGTTACTAAGTTTCCAGAGCTGGGCTCAAACCTCCCCAGAGTGCTGGAATTACAGGTGTGAGCTATCACTTCTCCTTATGATCACCTCCTCGACCTTCATTCCCCAGAATGGTGACATCCTGAACACCTTCCTTCTCTCTCTGTCTCTGTGTGTCTGTGTCTCATTGTTTCGGTCTCTGTCTCTCTCACTCTCACACACACATCTTTATCATCGCCATCAGCAGCAGCAGCAGCAGCATCAACCTATGCACAGCGTCTCATTTAACTTCTTCCCAGAGAAGCTCTCATCGCATGAAGCTGACTTCCTCTCGCTCCTCAGCATCACTGCTCATCCGGGGTATTTGCTGAATCGATTCGAGTCCCCACAGCTGAGCTGCTGGAGACCTGCTCTCCTTGTGAAAGAATCTGTTTTCCACTAAACCACCCAGCATTTCCCATGCACTAATTTTAAAACTACACATTTGCTAATTTTCTTTAGTTTATTTTGTCTAGTCCTCAAAGACTGTTTGGTCAAAGTGACTTCCTACAACCAAACATCGATGTTCAACTGCAGCTGTCAAGGTCTTTGAGTGAGTGGTGGCTCCAGTCAACCACCAGCAGGAAGCAGAGCGCAGACCCAGGCCTAGCTGGAGGGAGCGGGGCCGAAAGAATAGGCATTGGGTTTGATAGAAAGAAGGTTTGGCCGACTTCAGGGTCCGGCTTCTCCTCGCAGGCGACACATCTCCCCTCCAACATATCCACCTGGCCCTTCCTTCCACAGGTGATGTCCCAAGCAGTCTCCTTCTGTCTCCCTCTCCATCCCTCCCGCCATCCTTCCCTCTAATTTCTCCCTCTCTTTTCTGCTTTTTCCTCCTCCTCTTCCTCCTCCTCTTCTTCCCCTCCATTCACTTGCTCTCAGAACTCTCAGTCAGGCGAACTTCAGTGACATCAGAAGACAGACTTCCTGTTAACTCCGCTCTTGCTGTAAGGGGATGATGGGGTCAGTGAGGGTCCAGGAAACAGGAAAACTGCATGGCAAGACTGAGGTAAAGGAGTACAAGAGTATCAGCAAGCCTCCCACCTGGGAGGGCAGCGGTGAGGGGTGAGAGTTTTCTAGGCCTCTTATCCAGGAAGCTCACTGACAAAGAGATTTTCCCTGGAGGGGAAAAAAAAGCATGAATGCGGACACATCTCCCCTCTCTGTTCCCTTACCCCAGGATGTCTGGAACAAGGGACACCGGGGCACGTTTGGGAGGAAGATGGGTGAGGGAGGTATTTAAAGAACCGGAGCATGGCTGGGCCCAGAAGGACTCTCTCTTCTCCCTTGAGTGGAGAGGGAAGGGTGGCAGAGCCTTCCGAGAGGAGGGAGTTGCTGAGTTAAATTACAGAGGCCTGGGAGGGATGATTAACAGCCCTCACGGTTTTCTGCTTCACAGCCATTACTCACTGCAAACCTGGGGCTTCTCGGTTACATAGCCCAGCGCAGGCCGCCCATTTTTTCCATTGACTGAAAACACATTCTGACTGAAAACAAACTTTGGATCCCCGAGGCTTGGCAGGCCCTGGGTCCTTCTCCATATTTAATCAACGGGAAGCTAAACACTTTCAATCTGCGATGGCTCATTTGGACGGGGTCTCAGGGCTTTCGCTTGGTGCCAGATATAATAACTCTCCGCTCTCTTTTCTAAGGCCTATTTTATAATTTTGCTGTTTTTCAATGTCAAGCCCATCTTTTGAAGAATTTTTATTGGATTTCCTGCTAGACTTCAACGAGGATTTTTCTTGCTTTGGCAGAAATATCAAGCAGAACAGGGGAAAAACTCAATCATCGTCTTGGAAAGTCATGATGGTGCGTGCATGGAGGGGGGCCTTTGTCTGTTTGCACACAAGCGGGTTTTAGAAGGCTGGAGGCCGGGTTACAGCTTCAGGGGCCTCTCTGACTTCTGATTCAGGGCTGGAGACTGACAAGGTAGGGCAGGTGCTGTAGGGAGAAGAAGTCAGAGCAGGATGAGGAGAAAGAGGCTGGGGTGAACGGGCCTCTGCTCACACTCCAGACATCAGCCGTGGTACCATGGACAGGCCTCTTTCCAGAACTGTGGGAACACTGAGGGGCCGGGAGTTAGCCCCGCAGCAGACAGTGTAGCCCCTCAGAGCTGGTAGAACCCCAAGACTGAGTGAGCAGGTCACACACTCCAGGCTTCCCCTTTACTAACCATAGCCACATTCTGTGCCTGCTCAAGGCAACATTCAGATCTTTAATTTTTCCTCACAGAAATTATTCCCTAGGGGAAGCAGCTTGCCAGTGAGTGACAGCTTTTGTTTGCTCATGTTTTCCTCTCTTCTCAGAGTCAACTTCCAGAATATACCAGAATGTTCTTTCTCATTTGACTTTCTTTTCTTCTTTAAAAAAAAAATGCGGTGGGAAGGGAGGTTGCAGTTTGTACAGAGTATTATTCAGAAAAGAAAAGAGAAATAGTTCTCGCAGAGGTGAGAGGGGAGAGGGAGTCCTTTGATACTCTTTCTGTTCTGACATTCTGTTTTACTATTTTTATGTTAAGTTGTTATGTGTAACCGTGCCTCACACCTCACTGGCCTCTTCACACCTACCACTATTAGCTTCACAAGGTACAGAACATTTTCACATGTCTCCCTCTCCATCCCATCTCTTTTATTCCCACAGTAGCCCTTTGACATAGACAGGCAGGAAGTGGGGTCACTGGTGCAGAGATGAGCAAAGAACACACATACCTCAAGTGATTTACCTGCCCAAGTCCTGTGGACAGTAAGTGGCCAAATTCAGGCAGAACCAAGTTTAGCATGGGTTTCCACTGTGCTACAAAATGTATTTGCTGTAGGGAGCTCCTCAGCCCCTTGACTAAGAGCCTGTCCTATGCTTAGGAGAGCTCTGTATCAGAAACAATGAGAGGGAGACACAGCCCTCCCTATCATGTCCACAAATTGCAGCAGAAGTGTTGGGAGCCGTGGCACTGTCAAGTCATCAGACGCGGTGATTGCGAGGCCTGTGGGAAAGTACAAAAGCCTGAGCTAGATTACCCCTCTCATCGAGCCCGCCTGTGTGGCACCTGTTTCTTATCACCCCACTAAGTTCCCGCCTCACAGGGTAGTCTGCCTAGCTATTAATCCTATATATAGCCAGTGCCTCCACCCCTGAGAGAGAGACTGAAGCACGGAAGGAGCCTCGGGGAGCGGACCGGTAGAGGCTTCGGGGGAGACTGAAGCACGGAAGGAGCCGCGGGGAGCGGACCGGTAGAGGCTTCGGGGCAGACTGAAGCACGGAAGGAGCCGTGGAGAGCGGACCGGTAGAGGCTTCGGGGCAGACTGTATAAGGAGAGAATAAAGAAAAGCCTGACCACCGCCAGACCTTGTCGTGTGTCTTTCCTGCCGGCCGGGAGCGACATCGACATTTGGTGGCCCGCACGGGGATTGATCAACCCCGAGACGCGGCGGTGGACTGCATTCTCCTACACAGTGCTGCAGCTGCAGGACAGGTGAGTAGAGGATAAGCCTGGGCCCTGGGTGGCGCGCACCTACAGGGTTTGTAGACTCCTCTCAACCTCACGCGTAAGTGGCGGGTTTCTTGGGCCTCACGCGGTGAGTATGAAACATAACACCAGAACTTAAGGTAATAAAAGAGTGTAAAACATAAACATAGAAGTAAAAATAACAGAAGATATATTAAAAATGGGAAACATGCCAAGTAAAGATACACAGCCTTGGTGTTGGTCCTTCGGAGACTCCTAAAGTCCAAGGACCTCAAGGTGGGGCGTAAGACTTTAGAAAATTTCCTTGCAGAGATTGACAGCTTTGCTCCCTGGTTTCTGCCTACAGGGCATGTAAACCTGCCCTCCTGGGAAAAGTTGGGCAGAGACCTTTCCCTAGCAGAACGGGAGGGTAGAGCTTCAGTCTCTGCTCGTCCATTGTGGGAAATGATACACACGTGCCTAAAGAGTGAGGGTAGTTACGGGGGGAGCTCTCAAGAACTTGTAGAAGTACGCGAGGTGTTTGAACAGGCACAGTGAGGAAGCTCCCGAGAAGGGTCCGTCAAGGAGGGCAGAGATACAAAAGAGGAAGCCGAGGCGCGGTTTGTGTCTTTCCGCAGGAATCGGGACGAGAACCAATGTGGGTCCCAGAGAGGTTGACGCGACAAGTCCCTCGACTGAAGATCAGGCCTGTTCCACCAGAGGCCAACCGCAGACCCAACAACAAGATGAGCCCTAAAAGAACTGCAGGACAATCCCTTTTTGGGGGCCTGGAACGGCTTGCTCCCCTATGTGCTACCCTTGTATACGCATGGCTCGCTCGCATGGCCTACGACCGCGTTTAAAAGTGACAGGCTTCCCACATTCTCCTCCCTAGACAACAACATGTAGCAGGGTGGGTGAGTCAATGACGGGTAAGAGCGTGCCTCCCCAGCACGACTCAACCTAAGCCAGGCCCTACCCCATTCCGCTCGAAAGCCGCTGGGATTGTTAGATAAATTTCTCTCCGAGGGGATTCGTGGAGAGAAATGAGTGCATGCCTATGTGCAACCAGGTTCCGTCCGGTTCATTCCTGGCCCTAGAAAAAAGGACGAGGGCCTCAGGGCCTTGGTGGACCCTGGGACGGCCGACCAGGGTCTACGCTAAGGGCCTACGGTGGGCCTCAGTTCGGGGCATAGGCCTCTGCACTCTATCCAGGACGGGCTGCGATGCGCGTAGCCATCATTTAAAATAAAATAGGGGGAGATGTTGGGAGCCGTGGCACTGTCAAGTCATCAGACGCGGTGATTGCGAGGCCTGTGGGAAAGTACAAAAGCCTGAGCTAGATTACCCCTCTCATCGAGCCCGCCTGTGTGGCACCTGTTTCTTATCACCCCACTAAGTTCCCGCCTCACAGGGTAGTCTGCCTAGCTATTAATCCTATATATAGCCAGTGCCTCCACCCCCGAGAGAGAGACTGAAGCACGGAAGGAGCCGCGGGGAACGGACCGGTAGAGGCTTCGGGGGAGACTGAAGCACGGAAGGAGCCGTGGGGAGCGGACCGGTAGAGGCTTCGGGGCAGACTGTATAAGGAGAGAATAAAGAAAAGCCTGACCACCGCCAGACCTTGTCGTGTGTCTTTCCTGCCGGCCGGGAGCGACATCGACACAGAAGATTTTATGAACACTTCCAGGGCATCTAAACAGCTCTCATCCCTTTGACTTCCGGTAGGAAAAAGGACATCTACAGATCTGGTAAAGCAAAGTACCTGTGGATACCCACTTAGGGCCCAGAATACTGTGGGATTTTACACTAGGAAAAGATACTTGTCCTTCAGGAGTTCACAGACCAGATACAGAGGAAAGACAACACACAGAGAACCCTAGAACATGACAACTACAAAGGACCTTTGCGATCATGCATCTAAACCCCCAGTTACCAGTGAGGAGACTGGACAGGTAGTGGAACAGAATCAACCGAGGCCACAGGAAACAGCATTTGACTTCATGGTAAGGAGTGTGGTGGGGGCATAAGCTGGTCAGAGAGAACAAAATGGTCAGGAACATCTTCTAGAAGAAAATAAAACTTGGTCTCCACCTTTAGTATGTGCAGAACTATGTGGAGAAGGAAGAAGGCCAACTCGAGTCCAACATGCTTACGGGACTGAAGGCCAGTGTTGAGAATGGAGGAGAGGGAAGGAACCAGGGCTGAAAACTTGGTCACATCACGAGTCTTAGGCATCAGGAAAAGGTGAAGGCAAAGCCATCGAGGAGTCACTTGAAGGTCAGGGTTCCTGGCAACCAGTGAAGCACTGGTCCTGTAATTCCCTAAACCCTAGAACATTTCCCCCATACCCATACCCACCACATCTAAACCTAGCCACGGCAGCCTGGGAGCACACAGGCATCTCTGCAGGTGCCCCACTTGGAGTCTGCATGCGGAGTGCCCGTGGGCCAGCACACTCTGCTCACCCTGCCTCCCCGCTTAGCCCCTCTCACTCCTGCAGCCACCACCCCAGTGCGCCACACACCCTCTGCCCCTCGCAGCTGGTCATCCAGATGCTGGGCAAGGACTGGACTGGCTAAGCTCAAAAGCAAAAGGAAGAGGGAAGGGCAGGCTGCCTCACGTCGAGAAGTGCCAAAGAAACAGGCATGACGAGCGCCTGTCCCCAGCCCTCAAGGGGCACGAGTGCTGCAGTGGGACCTCTGTGTCCCTGGCTCCTGATCTCCATCAGCCTTTGCCACTGCTAACCTTGTGACTGGCTTTCCCCATTCCAGCCTAAAACAAGTCTGCTGCTCTCTTCCTTCTTAGGCAGCCTGGGAGGAGGACAAATCAGCATCTACAGGCCCACAATTTCAGGGAAAGCATGTGGCAATTGTTCCAATTAATACTAACAATGTCATTGTCCCTCTGCTTCTGAAAACAAAGCCTGCATGCCCTCAGGAATGGCCCTTTGTTCCCTGAGCAGCTCCAATCTGAAGAAGAAACCCATCCGCCTCATTTCATCCCCAGCCTGGCCTTCCATCTTCCTTCCCTAAGCAAATACCCATTACCCCAAACCAGGATACCTGTGGTCCTCCACCCCAAAACTCACCTGGACTTACCTCCCGTAGGAAAGGAAGCCCCGCCCGATCCACCTGCTTCTCCCACTTAAGACACCAACGGTGCTTGCTCACCCCACAGGTACCCTAGCCTGGTCCTCCCACCCCACAGTCTCCCCCTCCAGCCAGCCAGGCCCTCCTCCGCTCACCACCCTGGCTTTCATGACCGCCTGCAGCTGCTGCCTCCTCTTTCTTTCTTTCTGTCTCTCTTTGTTCCTACCCCGTCTCTATTTTCATCTCCCTCTTCTGCTGTTTGAGGTTAAGAAGCATACTCTGGTATCCCATAGATTATTTGGCAAGGGTGGATGACAAAAACAAAATGCAATTCAGATTAAAGTCACCCTCCAGCTGAAATGAGAGTTAAATGAATGGCAAGACTGCTGATCAACCTTGCTGGCAACTGGTCCTCTCCTATTAATCTTTCTTGGTATGATTTAGGATCCGCCTGGGCCCTCAGAGAGGATTCTCCCATCATTTCCTTCCCATCTCTCTGGATCAGGCTGCTGGGCTTGGCGCAGTTGACAAATTCCCCAAGTAATCCCTCAAAAGATTGGAGAAATGCTCCGAACGCTCCATTAAATTTATTTTCCATGCTTTAAGAGACCCAAAACTATGTCCAATAAATAAGTGTTCCCTGTGATTTACTGAAATGTTCCTCTGATTTAAAGTTATAGGGAGAAAAATATAGAGCCCCTGGGAGCCCAGGACCAGCCTTGCAAGTGAGACCAGATGTGAGATTTCTGCCCGGGGAGGGAAGAAGAAGGGAAAAAAACAGCCCAACTGGTGGAGGTTTGAAAGTGACAATGTCTGAACCCCAGTTCTCAGCTTTAACATAAAAGGTCCCCAGTTGAGCATTCTTTCTCACAAAATTTATTGTGGTTGTAGTTAGAGAGGGAACCATCAAAAGAGTAATTCTGGCCCTTGTTTTGCAGAGCTCTTTTGATAAATATGATACTTAGAAATATGCCTCCCACTAGACAGGAAAGCCATATAGTTAAAATGAAGTAATCTGTCAGTAAACTCGCTAGAATCAAAGCCAAAATGAAACCTGTAAAAAGAGAAGGAGGAAAAAAAAAAAAAACTCCACTCAGAAATGCTCAAGTCAAGCAGGAGAGAAGGTGGAGATTAAGAATTGTCCTTTATTCAGATATTTTTATCTGTGGAGTTAAAAGTAGAGATTTATTTTTAAAGGGGGCTATTTATGTTCCCGTCTCCAGCAGATGGGTCTGTGTTCCTGCCTCTCCCGTGCAGCCTAGGCTCAGCAAAAACAGCTTCTCTCTGTAGCTGAAACTTACCCAAAAGAAAGAGAAATAAAAACTTTTGGAAGCAAATGTAACCTTTGGAGCTGCTTGGTAAATATTGCATCTGTTTACTACAGAGGCCCAGATGTGCCAAAACCAAAAAAATAAAATGGGGCAGGGGTAGCAGATGTGAAGATTAAACATGTACATATATACATAGCCAGTGGAGATGTGTCTTCATCAATGGGCTACCCAAATAGTCCTCTTTGGAGCCCACTTCTCTAAGAGTCCCCTCCACCTGAAACTCACCTGTTTAGAAAATGCCTTTTTTGTGCTTGGGGATGGAATATATTTGTAGTAGCTGTCCTATAGAAACCATCAGGCAAATTCCACTGTGTCTTACCCTTCTTTACTTTATACCTGCCTCCAAAAGAACCAAGCTGCATGGTTGGGTCAGCAATTAGGCAAGCCACTCTGACAATGCAGGAGTCTGAGCCTTCAAGAGCGCCCTGGCCATCCCAGGACAAACCTCTTTCTACTCGCTGTCCTCCTTTGGTCTCCCAAGCACTGTCACTTTTATCTGAACAATGCCTTAGAGGATGGGAACCCCCATCACTACCATCCCAGATGGAAGGCAGGAAGACCTCCCTGCTCTTCATCCTGCAGAGTCACACTCACTCCAAACCCAGGACAGAAAACCCAAGCCCATCGTGTATCCACAGCCTGGGGTAAACCACGAGAGTCCCCTTCTCCTCCTTGCTCCACCATTTGTACTATAATGAAGTGTGCCTAACTAAAATGACCCCAGGAAGAGAGAAGACACAGGACATCTTTAGTGGAAAGTGCCTTTAACACCAGACGACCCCAGAGTTGACTCTGGCTCTGTCATCAGACATCTGTGTGCCCAACAGGAGCGGCTTCAGCACCCAGAGTTTCTTCATCTCCTTGGTGAAGGTCAAGCTTTGTCTCTTTGTCCTTGACTCCAGAGGCAGCACGGTTCCCAGGGTCTCAGCACCTCCATCCCTCTGCCATCCCACTCCCACCCCCCACCCCCACACTAGTCTGGACAAAGCAAGCGGGAGGGTGTGGAGTTTGAACGGCACCTGTGTTTACACTGTACAATCTGCAGTTTACTGTAATAAAATCATTTAATACAGTCATAATTTTTGGCAAGGGGTTGTGTTTATGGTGAGCAAGACAGAGAAGGAATGATTGACTACAACTGATTAAAACAATAAATCAAAAACAAAGGAGGGAGGACTTCAAGCCCACAAAGCCACAGCAATGCCGACTGGAGTCTCAAGTCATGCGCCTTTGTGGGAAGCGCTTGGTCTGATTATGTGCCAGCCCTGGAGGGGGGGCCCGGTGCTCCAGGGCAGGAATGACAGCTAATCTCAGTGGGCTCATCCTTCGAGGGCAGAGAAATAAGGAAATAACTGGATGAGAACTGTCTCCTGGGGCCTCCATCTCCCAAAGAGATTTAGAAGGAGATCTTGTGAGTAAGCCTTCAGAATCAGTGTGCGTGTGGGTGCACGTGTGTGTGTTCTGGATAGAATAATTTGAGCATGACCTAGAGGCACTGCCCAGAATGGAAGCCATTCCTGTAACAGTATATCTGGAACTCCACCTTGCAAGAATAACCTAAGGTAGCAAACCTGCACACCTAGGAATCATTTGTCCTTCGACAACTGCACCTGCTGCATGTAGACACCATGCCTGAGCAGATAGGCTATAACGGATTGTTCATGCAACTAATGTTGTCTGCTCTGGTACAAGCTCTGTCAGAGGGAAGATCACTGAAAAGAAAATCCCCAACACCATGGAACTTATATTCTCATGGCACTTAAAACCTAATAAATTAAGCACCACATTCTCCCCTAGAAGTGAACCCCGAGGTGTGATAAGTCCTGTAAGTCCTGCAGAGAGTGCTCGAAGGCACACCATAATAATCCCTACGAACCACCCACTGGGCCTCTAGGGTTCTATTCCTGCTGTCAGGAACCCCAAATGGGAACGGCTCCTTCAGATGCTGGCTGGTCTCCTTTCCAGAGAAACCACAGCTCGCTGCTCCACCTGGTCATGAACTGTGTCATCCCCTTCCTCCACTACCCGGTCTACCGCCCCCTCACCTTCTGCTAGCACTTTTACTGGCCTATGTAGCTTTCCAGCTGGGCTTGATCCAGAGCCTCACCTTTGACCTCGTCACCATGCCTTTCCCAGGATGTGGCTGCTGTTCTTGTCCATTTATCAGCAAAACTGGACAGAGGAATAGGACACACCT